ACTTAAACACGCCACAAATTGAATTGTTGTGCATCGAATATTTTAGTGCTAGAAAATGGAGATGCAGCAAATGATGGAACTTCTACTGAAGGAAATCAGAGATACCAAAGAAGTGTTCCTAAACTATCAAGAAAAGACTGAGACTAATAGAAGAGAAGGAAGAAAGGAAGGCGGAGAAGGAAGAAAGGAAGGCGGAGAAGGAAGAAATGCTGAAAGAGATTAGGGCAAACCAAGTAAAAGCAGATGCCGACCGAGTGCGGATGGAAAACAGAATTGACGCCAGCATGAAAACCGAGAAGGAAGAAAGAAAAAAAGACAGAGAAGAATTCCTGGCGAAGTTAGAACTGAACGAAGAGGAAGCAAGTATCATGCTGGCAAAATTAGATGCCGACTTCAACGCCTGGCAGGTAGAGACTTTGGCTTGCCTAGTGGACACGAAACCTGCGGAACAACAAGAAGAGGTCCCCATAGTGATACCGGTCGGAGTGACGATGGCCTGCCAAGAATGGGAGGCACGTCCAGAAGAAGAAGAGCCGAATTCAGCGAACAGGAAACCTGAGGTGGCAGAATTACAAGAGGTACCCGCACAAGACGCCGAAGTAATGCCGGTCGGAGAACCGAAGAAGAAAAGGCGCAGGGACCGAAACCGACGAAATAAGAAGAATCCGACGCGGAGAAGTCGTGGACCCCAGATGAAGTTGGCCGTCGTCCACAGGAAGGTGTCATGCCGCGCAACAGTGGCATGGAGCAAACGCCATATCTTCAAGAAATCTACGACCCAAGGAAATTGTGGCCCATGGCACGAATTGGCTGCCGACAGCAATGTGACTAGTCGTGCAGGTGCNGGAGGAAACAAGAGGGTAATACTTTTTTAAGTTACATAACATCAGTGTTTACCTAATGGAAGGGAACTGAACACAAATGGTAAGTAGGTAAGGAAAGAGATGGAGGTGGTAATGGCCAATTTGAAGATATTTTATCGGAACTCAACTGCAGAAACTGAAAGAAATTTATGACAGCAAGTTAATGTTGCCAGGGCCATGCCACAGCTCAGGTGATTAGTCGCCAGCTTCCCAATATGGAGACCTAGGTTCGATTCCAGGTCAAGTCATGCGGGATTCATGGTGGACAAAGTGGCCCTGCAGCAGGTTTCCTTCTAGTACTTTGGTTTTCCTTGCTAATTCTCATTCCACCAAACACTCCACATTCATCTATCACCCAGGGTGGTAGCATAGTTGGTTGAGGCACCATAATACAAGCCAGAAGGTCACAGGTTCAAGTCCCTATGATGTGGATTTTTTCAATTTACCTTATCCTTCCACCCACACTATGGCCATGAGGTAAACCCAGATTGAGGACAAAGGGCAAATATAACGGAATAAAGGACATCAAGGTTCTCAGAAGGCTGTAGATCCAAGGAGCAAATAACTAATATTACATGATGACTACCAGGTATCACTACTGCCAAAAACAGATGATGTCAATTTCTCTATACAAAATAGCAAAAGCTGAACCTTGAAATCGAGGATCTCTGGCAAGGCAGAGACAGGTTTGCTGGACTCCCTCTCCAACTGATGCTGCAGCTCCTGACTCTGCTCCTGCATGCGTTGCACCAGTTCCCGGAACTTGGCAATAGTCATCTCTCGATCTGCCAGTGTTTCTAAAGCCGCTTCCTTCTCGCGCTGTGCCTGCAATTAATAGTTGGGTAACCCTTTCAGGACAAAGCAGTACATTTTAGAAGCACATTCTGGAAAGTTTCACCAATCAGTACAGATAAACTTATGAAACAGGAAATGCCAAAGATGAAAGAAGACATTAGTTAGTGCCCATATTAATGTACAAAGCAAAAACACAGACATGGACCAAAACATATTGTGACATGTTGCGCAAAGGAGAACCCCCCCACCANTTAACAAACTGAGAACAGCTCAGATGGGGCTTTTAAGTATAGCTGGAGAAGGGGGGGAAAAAGGAAATAAGAAATAAAAAAATTGGATAGAATTTAAACATAATGAATGATAAATTAATAAATAACAGAAAATGATGGCATGAACATGTTTAAAGAATGAATAATAAAATATGTGAGAATGTTTCAAACATGCAAGTAAAAGGCAAATGCCCCAACAGAAGACCAAGAACAAGATGCAAAAAAAAGATCAGGAAAGATATGATAATGAAGGTAGGAATACAGGAAGAAACTGCAGAAAAGGAGCCTTGGGAAGGGAGAGAGATATGCAGAGGCCCGGTTGCTGCTTGACCCGCACAGACGTGAAACTGGCAAAGGAAGAAGAAGAGTGTGACGATTCTGCAAAGCAATTCAATATGAAAGAAAACATTAAAATGACTAAATGTAATAATTCCAATTATGTATTCTGGACAAAAGACATAACTCTGTATGCTTGTATATACAAGGTGGTTCAAATATGACCAGGACTGATTTGTGTGTGAACAAGCTGCACTGCGCAGCAGCTGTGAGACCTTGAGAGAGTGAGGCCACAACCTCCACCCTCCCTTCTGTTCGGGTTACAACCTGTTCAGTCCTGTCTGGGAGTTGCTAGAGTGATGAGCGAAAAGAAGGTAGCGCTGAGCATGGAACAATGCATTGTGATCAAATTCCTTGTTGGAGAAAACCTCCCGTCCGCTGAAATTCACCACAGACTCCAACAACAGTATGGGGAAGAGTGTCTCATGGACCTGTGTTTGTGTGGTGTAAGTGCTTCAAAGAGGGCAGAGAGCATGTGGAGAATGAACCACGAACATCCGTCACCGAGCCAAACATTGATCATGCAGACACGCTTATTCCTGAGAATAGGCGCATCACTATCAAGGAACTTGGAGCAACACTGTCCATCTGTGTTGGTAGTGTAGAATACATTTTGAAATACCACCTACACTATCGCAAGGTGAATGCACGGTGGGTACCATGCACTTTGACGGACTTGAACAAAATGGTGCGCATGCAAGCTGCCAGTCATCTCCTACAGCAGTTTGAAGACGAAGGTGATGCATTTTTTAAGTCTATAGTGACCACCGATGAAACGTGGGTGCACTACTTCATTCCTGAGTCCCAGCAGTCATCACGCGAGTGGCGGCATACCAGTTCTCTCAAACCCAAGAGAGCGTGGAGGAGCCGTTCGGCAGGAAAAGTGATGGCAACGTTCTTCTGGGACTGGCAGGGGATTATCCGGGTAGACTTTCTGACAGATGCCAGAACAGTGAATGCAGCTTATTACTCACACCTACTGGCAACAGACATGAAGGAAAAGTTCTGATCCAAGCAGAAGACAGGTGGAAAGCGGGTAGCCTTCCCTCAAGACAATGCACGCCCCCATACAGCCAAAACAACAATGGAAACCCTTCGGAAATTGAAGTGGAACCTTCTGACACATCCGCCATACAGTCCCAATTTGGCCCCAAGTGATTTCTACCTGTTCAGAAGTCTCAAATCAGACTTGCAAGGCATGCAGTTTGTGGACAACAATGCCATCACCCAGACTGTTTGAGAGTGGTTATGCCGCCAACCACAAGCCTTTTTTGAAAAGGGCATCAGGATGCTTCCAGAACGTTGGAAAAAATGTGTTGACTCCGGAGGGGAGTACATCGAAGACTGACATGTGCAAGTAAGTGTTTGTCAAAAAAAAACTATCCCGGTCATATTTGAACCACTTTGTATTTAATAACAGTTCATAAATTATGTTGACAAAAAGAGACCTCGTTAAGTCCTGTTCTTTCACTGTTTTGTGCCCAGTCTGTGCTGTATTTCCTTGTTAAACTGTTCTGACCTCAATATATTTCTTATTCCTTTGAATCTGATATATGCAGTACTTTTCCAAAAAGCCAATTTGATGTTTATATCATATTTCATGTCACTTATTACTCATTCCTAACATGTCAATCTGCTAAGTTTCTCTATGATCTCTAAGAGAGACTACAAACATTATATAAGTGAAAATCATTACAAAGCGTAACTGACAATATGAACACGAAAAAATGCACACACACATAACTTTATAGTAATTTGTAATCTGGTGTGCCATGAAACGCCAAGCTGCATTTTAGCATGCTGCTTGTGGAAGCACTGCAGTAGCATAGCCAACATATCAATAGTGTCTCCTCACTAACCAAAGGACACGCTGTCTCTGTTCCATCGGAATCATACCTCTCTAGTAGCAAAATGAGCAAGATCCACTTCTTCCCTAAGTTCCACTTCCAGTTCTCGGCTACCTTCTTGCAGCTGCTCGTTCATGTCTTGCAATGCCTCTAAATCTGCTACTGCTTCCTCCAAATCCTTCACACGTTCTTCAAGGGTCAGCTTGGAATCTGCCAGCTGCTGAACCATTTCCTCTGCTCCCAATGCTGCATCAACCTGTACAGCATTCCTTCTTGAGAAGCCAATAGTTGCACAGCTAGTCAATAAACTCATTTATGGCACTGAAAGATTCAGTCACATGTTCACAAGACACTGCCACCGGTCCCTATCCTTAGCCAAATTAATCCAGACTGCATTCTCCTATTCCAGTTACTTAATATCCATTTCAATATTATCACCTATGCCACGGTCTTACCAGTGGTCTATTCCTTTCAGAATTTTCCATCACAAATATCAATGCACTTCTCTCCCATACGTACTACATGCCATCCTCAATTTCATCATCCTAATAATATATGATGGGTACTAATTATGAAGTTCCTCATTATGCAATTTTCTCCAGCATCCTTTTACATCTTTAAATAAATATTTAACAATTTAGAGATGTGTGCAGCAACACATACAGGTATTAACATAAAGTGTTCATTAGTGCTGCATGATTTTAGCCAAAATTTTAATATGTTGAAAAATGTTTTTAGAACTCCCCAGTAGCAAACGTTGCGAAACTCCATTCAGTGGTAAATGTCTACACAGTGTCACATCCTGAAGACATTACACTTCAAACCAAGTACCTGCTCCTGCAAGTCAGCAATTTGGTGCTCCATTTCTTCCACTCTTGAGCTTAGTTTCTCTTTGGTGCGAGCCAGCTCTGCGATCTCAGACTTCTTCTGGTCCAGATCCTTCTGGAGCTTCTGGAACTCATGCTTCTCATGAGCAGACAGGTCTCTCATTCTTTAATAACAATAGGAAGAAATTAAGTTTGATTTGTTTAACAAACAACACAACAACAATGTATTACAGGGTGCCTCGAACATCACAGGACGACACTTAAGAATCCTATTCTCCAAACAACAGAACCACAAGGCAGTAGACACTTGGCTTCCTTCAAAGAGAAGAAATAAAAAGGACACAAACCAACTTGATTTAAAAATTTTAACAAAATCTTTCTAAACCTACTAATTGTAATTTATAAATATTTTAACATATTAGTACAAGCCACTGTAGTTGTTAAAAACATTAGATTTTGTACTCATTGTATTACGATAACATTGTATGTATATATTAATACTCACAAAACATATTGTAATAGTGGTTTCTAATTGCATTGATATCCTTCTGAAGATGGTCCATAAGACCGAAACATGTTAAGGATAAAATATTAAAATGAAGAAAAAAACTCCATCAGTCACACTGGATAGAATTAACCTTTCATAGTAGAAAAGAAATTAATTGTAAAGCTTTTTGATGCCAGTGTGTCACACTGCTCAAAACCTATTATCTGGGCTCTGTACATCATCCCAGCTCAATAAAACCAATAGCATCTGTAAACTGGTCTGCTCTAGGCAGAGCCAGTAACAGACTACATTAAATATTACCAAGAAAACTGAGGGAGCCATGTGAATAAAATGGATGCTCCAAGATCCCCAAAACCAATTTTAACACATCAACCCAAGCAGAAAAGATCAGTAGGGCATGCAATGTTGAGAACACACAAAATTGTAACAAGCTTGTCAGGATGAGGAAGATCATCATCATCTTTATTACAATGCATTTCCTTCAATTTGATTTTCTCTCATTAATTACATCTTTCACTGTGACCAGTCCAACATTATACGAGTACACATCAGCAATGTAATCTTGAAGTTTCACCTGATAAAGTGTTTAATTCTTACTGTAATAAATTAAATACATCATTTCTAACCTCACTAAAGTATCCCGCAGTCTGTTATTCTGCTGTTCTAGTTGTTTCATCTCGTACGTTGACACGGTGGACTCACCAGTCCCCCCTCCGGCTCTTTCCGACATCTCTGCTTTAATTATCTCCAAATCCAACGTCAACTCTTCTATCTTTTCTCGTGATGCTTCTAGTTCCAACTGCAATGTCTCTGCCTATGATAAATGTTACATTGACACTTTTAATGTAAAAATTATGCTTAACTAATTTAGTCAAGAATTTTACAGTCACAATATTTGAAGAGATTTGATTCATTCCCAAAAATAATTCACATGCCAATTTTGAAATTCAACATTAAAAATAAATACATTTTTTGTACACTTCATTTTACAAAATCTATTGAACAGTTCTACATCAGCTGACATCTTTCTTACCTCCACTCCCCTACACATCTTCAGGGTATGGTAGTAATGAAGTGCATAAAGAATACCTTTACACACACAGAAGGGCAAAAAAAGAATGTGTACACACCATTCTAAAGCCATTCTCTTTGACTGTCACGCCATTCAATAAGTTGGGCATGGCACTCATGTGACTTTATCACCTTTGGGGGGGNAAATCTGCCATCTCTTCAGCGTGCGTGTCTCTAGCCTCAATTGCTTCCCTGGCTTCCTGCTTAGCACGCTGCACTTCTCTCTGAAGAGAAGTCTGTGACTCCATTATGCGAGATTTGAATTCAAGAAGTTGCTCCAGTTGTAATTTCATTTTGTCAAAGTCCTTCAATTTTTCTTTGTCTTGCAACCGTTTCACTATGAAAAAACCAAACTCCATGTTAAGTTCTAAAATAAAATTCATGCCAACTTCTTATTATTGCTTATACAAATACTTAACCCTTTTTTCAATCCTCTCACTTCCAGCCTCATTCTCACAAGCATGACAAGTGAGAGAAAAAGACACCTGAATATTGGCAAGTATAAAACTCCTGCCATCTTTGTGCATATTCCTGAACTACTAGAAAAGATATAAAAAAATATAAATGACAAAATGAACACTCAGCATATGATCATAATTTGGTGTAAATTCATTAAAGTTGGTGGCAGAAAGCTTCTGATAGTGGACCAGTATGGGAAAATTATACTCATAGAAGGCAGGAAAAAGTTAATTACACTGTGGTGACTGTGTTATGCTAGCACTGCACTGACTCCCTCAGTCCTTGAGTATATTCAATGACTGTCCCATGTTTGATATGCCATAAATCACTTTAGATACCTATCTTTAAGTACCTTCATTTTTAGTTAGAGCATTAACATACAAGCCTACACACATCCTCTTTTATTTATATTATATATGACTATATGGTTAAAACACATCTGTATCCAAATAAAATATTCTCTGTCTGAAACATATATGAGAATACATTTTACCTTGAGTAGGCAAACTTATGGGGGGGAACCTGTGTGTTCAAGGACATCTCTGGCATGGTGTTCCTGGCAAACCAATTGTATGTTGCAAATTAAATCAAGTAACTTTCTAATGATAACTATATGATCTACATCACTATTCTGTAACAACACACTCCCAATGATGTTTCAGAGAATACAAGCAAACCTTTCAATGTCTCAATTTTCTCTTGCAAGTCTGCCACATCTGATTTTAGATTCTCAATTTCCTGCTGATTCTGTAAATTGCTGAGCTTCTCTTCAACTGTGGTAGAACCAGAAGATGCACCAGGAGAGATCATTGCCTGACCAGGAATATACTGTGGCTTCAATGTTTCCACAAATCCTGTCTGGAAACCAAGATTTCTCTTTAGAAAACTCAAGATATGCGACATTACAATTTCCCTTTGCAAAATACTACAAAATGTTTAAATTTTACTGTCTCATCTCATTATTCTTGCTTCATCATCGGACATTTCCTTCAGAAATTATCCACTACCTGCATAAAAAGAGAGCACAGGCTGACTAGTCCCCTCCTTCAAGTGACAAGGATTAATTTGTGAAGTTCATGGCCCCCATGATGGTGAATATTAAGATTATGGTTTTCTGTACACTTTTGTAGGTAACAATGTTTTGTAGTGGCCTACTCTTAACATGGCGACAGCAGGTTCCTCCAAAACACTGGTACCCAGTCACTGAACTGCATGGTGTCATATTCCGAAAGACAGTGATCTGAAGGGTTACTTTAGGTAATATGCCCCACATAGTAGACACTCTGTCCACCTACATGAAGACAGAGAGGCCCAGCCTAGTCCTACTAACATGGGCAAGCTAACAGGCTCTGTAGAATGGGAACCCACTTTAAGCCATTGATTCCCTCTACAAGCTACTGTCCTTCCATCCAACAGACTACTTATACCAGAAACTAAGTCTTTCATCATTGATGAGTTAGGCAAAGATCATGTGAACAGACTATAACCTACAGGCATCAGCTACAACACCAACATATAAACACTACATCAGTTTCAACATTTCAAATAATTCTGATCAACATGACTAAACATAATCTGAGAGAAGTTATTAAATGTTTCTTTCATGTTCTAAGCATGCCCTCTTGAAGTCACAAAACATCAACTGTTACGTGTTCATGCTTTCTTCCACAAGTATTAACACATAAGGGAGAACGCACTGAAACAATCAGAGTTTTTTACATGTAATATAATAATAAATTTCAGATAAATAAACTGAATGAAAATTTTCACACATAAACAGGAAAAGAACTGAAGAACAAGCATTGCTCCAATTTTACCAAAACATAAAGCCAAAAGAAAACTATATGAGGTCATATTATTTATGAATTAATTTCTTAAAAGAAAACTAGTTCATTACTGAACAAGTTATACAAACTAAGGCAGTAAGTAATATACACAATTGTAGTAACTGTGTTCACATGTCCCAAAGTAACTTCTGTTGGAGACTTAATTAACTTCTTTACACTTCAATACATCTTCCAAGCAGGCTGGTGTAGCATAATGATATAGACTTGTATTTGGGAAGTGCTCAGTTCAGATCTCAACTAGGTTATCACCTATCCTGGCTGATTTGCATGGTTTTATTCAGTCACTCCACGCAAATGTCAGGATTGTACCTTGAAACAGTCCATGTTTGCTTCCTTCCAAGTCCTTACTGCTTCACCATCCACAGTCACCTTCCCATCTCAATTGATAACACATAACATACAAATTTGAAAGAACTTTGTTAAACAACCTAATAATAATTTATTAATGTGAGATCCAAGTTCTCATGGCACTGGTTAAGAGATTACTGTCTTCTGAAATGCAATGCCATGCAGTTTGCTATGTATGCACCAATCTTTCAGAGGAAGTTGCTGTCTACATGTTCCGAGTACATGATGACAGGCACAGCAAGTTCCTCCTCTAAAACACCGGTACTTATCTATCAAAACACAAAGTATCACATTCCAGACAACAATGATTGTCAAGCATTTTTAATTTCCACATCTTCCAATTATAGCTGGAATGTCTAAACTGAAAATCTTTTAAGACAGGAACTGAACAAAACATTTACATAACTCAGGAACATCATAAAATCAGAAGACGTGGTCTATGACGTGTGAAACAAGTGTGTACAGAATAAATGAAGGGGTAAAAATATTTCTTATGCATTCAAGTTCAGGAATGCAGGTTAGAACATTCAGTTCATATACTGAACAAAAAGGGAAGTTATAGTAAATCGGGCATGAAGAAGGGACATATCAGCAACGAGAAAGAAATTAAGCAAAAGAAAGAGGGAAACAATTTTAATTCATGGAAACTGGCAGAGAGAAAAAGCACATTTACTTGTTCCTCCCCAACGCTAGCTTCCGCCAACACTCGTGATCTTTTCGAAGCCTGCTTCAAGACTACATGAACCTGCTTAGAGGGTGCAGACCCCTGTTTAGAGGCCGTAGAGAATTTCTGAAACACAAAATAATGACTGCAAGAATTGGAGAGAAGATGTCTAAGATCACGTATGTTACGATATCCAACAAGACATGATCATATGCTGCAACGGGTACCAACATACAAAATACACCACATTCGTCCAAATTTTCAACATCAGCACTTAACTCTGTATGCATATACACTTCATATGATACACAAGCTCAACTTTCTGCATGATCTGACTTAATACCACAAACAAATGAAAAAGCAGGAAGTTCTAGGAGGAACTTATGATGCCTACTTTCCTTCTAATGCATTACTATACCACAGTGCAGCTAGCAACAACTATAAATTAATAATTTACTATTTAGCATAACAGGTGACAGACTAGAACACAAATATATAGTATGAATACCAAACTGGGAACCTCAGGATAATGGAAAACAGGTGGAGAAGAGCGGTGAACAATATGAGATTTGTGGTTCTCATGGCAGTGACGCCATACAGACTGGTAGAAGTTTACTGACATTTTGGAGGACACTCTACCTACTGTTTACATGTTTGTTTGTTCATTTGCTTGGTACATTCTGTGACCCTGAAGATGGAGGTAGTACCTTCCTCTGAAATTCTGGTAAACTTATGCCAGACTACATGGACCACATAACAGAAGACAGTACTCTTCAGAAGTGCAGAAGTTCAGAAAACAAGAATGGGAGAACCAAATCCACATAAATCACCTATCATTAGCCTCAACTCACATAAGCCCGTAAAGAATTACCAAGGAAAAACCTCTAATTAAAAAGTGTTGAACAGAAATACATAAAATTCTCACAAATGTTGTAAAACCTATAAATTCTGAGAAAAGTAGAACTTCTCCAATCAGTCTATGAAATCAAAAATTCTAATAAACCTCACAAAGCAGGATCCTTCCTGGCAAGCATAAAGTCATTCATTCAACGACAGATGAATCCAGTCCACACCCTCACATCCTGTTTCTTTAACATAAATTTAAATATCATTGCCCCATCTACACCAAGGATGCCAAACAGGTCTCTTCCCCTCAGGCAATCCAGTCATAATTCTGTTATACACTTCTCCCCTCCCCATGCACTCTACATGTCCAGCCTATTTCATCCCACTTTATTATATTAATAATATCTGATGACAGAAGTTAACATTCTTGCAATGAGTTCATGAATTCTAGTAAAAGTGAAATTCATATTAAGGTTTTCCAGGTTATGACACTGCAATCTGGCAAGAGGGAAACCAAATTTTGGAAGAAAATGCAGCCCTCATCATCAAGGTGGAATATGGAGGCAAACGGTTCCTTCAAAATGCATGCACCTTCTACCAAACTACATGGTGTCATAACTCAGAAGACCACAATCTAAATTTTCACTGCCATGAAAATGTAAAATCTCGAAAGGTAACTTGCAATTATTTCAAGAAACAAAAATTATAATCACCCTTCCATTAATTCTACTGCCAACATCAACAACAGACCTTCCATTTCACACACCTACAGAGTGCATGTCAGAATTATTACACAAACTACTTCAGACTGACAGCAAAAAGACAAGTACCTCAATGAAAGAAGCTCTCTTGGAAGTTGGCTCAGAAGTCTGTTGAGGGCTGGACATGTCAATACCATATCCAGGGTCATCTTTACCCAGAAAATCTCCTTGGCTACGGCTGCTGACTAGAGACAATCTGGAGCTGAAAACCAGTATAATAACCAATCTATAATAATCTACCACAACATATTAAGGATATATCAAGTGACACTAAGAGTTTTGGGGTACAATTAAAACAATTTTTATATTTACATTCTTTTTATTCTTTACAGGAATATTTTGGTTTTAAATTTTTTTAAGACACGAGTAGCCGTTTTGCTTTACAATTAAAAGACAAGATTGTCAGTCTGTGTTCTGGTTTTTAGATGCTTATTTTAGATATACACAATCTTTATATTACTGTATACTATACTACTCTTTATTTCAATTTATTATATAGTTATACAAAACTCATTAACGACATTGTGTTTTAACTACTGAATTTTTAATTAATAGACTTGTATAAAACTGTACAAATTGTATAAGGTTTGCCATTACTTTTACTACTAAAAATAACTTATTTATTATATTGTATATGTTTATCAGTATTTTATTACAAATGTGTATGCTATTGGATGACAACTGTAATTCTTAGTTGTGACTGTAACTAGGACAATCTCCACATCTGCATGAGAATGTACTCCCGACAGGATTTATGGAAGGTGAATAAATGAAATGAAACGAAATACATTTCCACGTAAGGAAACATTCTTCACTTAACATATAAATCTCGAGTATAAAATTACGTAAGATTCTACCACTTGATGCCACATAAACTAGCTAACAAACTAACTCCATGGACCTAAGTCCTGCTTGAGACACCACCAGTTGCTCAGCTACACAAGAATTTCACAGCATTTTAAGGAACCGAAACGATCAGTCTTATGTTCACAAGAGCTCTCCACTCCTAAGCAAGATTAATCCAGTCCGTACTTATTTCTCTAAGACAGAAGTTCCTATTGTAAAAACAGAGCACGTTCAAAATGTGTATGTTTGTAAAGTCATGTGGGCATGTGATCATTCCACATGAAATAAAATGTAACACACTTACATATATAAAGTTCTGACTTGGGAAATTATGAACAACATTAACAAAAATTAAGGAAAACCATATTTTCAGATAAAGCTTAATTATTACTCTTACCAGTACATCTGTTTTCTGGTACTCCAATGCTTGGTTTTGGCATAAAGTCAGAACATATGACCAATTAGCAGATGTGTGACTTTTGACAAGTTTGCCAGAACACACCAACTGTATGACAGTATGAAGAGTGTACCAGGCGAAAAAAGCACTGCTCATAACTATATTCAACTCTATTCAAATAAAATAATAAAAAAGTGTTGAGTGCTGTTTCATTAATAATATTTTTACACTTTCTACTAAGGCGTAAAATGTCCAAAATACTAAATTTCAAGTCACCATACCTCATTTTTTCTTGTTTAGTTCTCGGTCCATGGGCAGGAGAAGACTTACGTCTCACGCTAATTTGTATTGCAGCATGAAGAGAATAAACAGCATGTAAATAATATTCCATTTTTATAATTCGCCAAGATCAGACCATAAAGCCAATATACTGATTTATGACTTCTTCAGCTTTTACTTACGTAGTAGGCTCAGCCTTCTTACGAATGCTGTTCCACGAATGCACAGACGGAGAAGCAATGTATTAAAATTGTGCAGATAATTAAGTTATGTAACACATCAACTCTGTAAACCACACTGGTTCCTATGTGTACCACCTGTTTTAACATTTAAAATACTCTGAATTCTTCCCACAATATATGTGTTTAATATGATTCTCACAACAGATAGTGGTTATATCCCTAAAAAGAACTAACTGAATGGTCTCGGAATTGGAGACATGGTGAGTTCTCTGTGAGGCAGCAACTGAATTCTTAAATGTTATTTAGATAAATTTTAGTCTTTGAAGAATCAACTACCATAACTGAAAAGTTCCGAGTAGCACTGGAACTTGAATACTTTTCATCTAGCATACTGAGGTTCGATACCCTTCATCAATTCCTTTACAGAGCTTATTGATCATTTTAAACCTCTCAATGGGCTAGTAACAGTATCCTGTCACAATATCACTGCTTCTCATTAGAGGAACAACAGAGAAAAAAACATTTTACTTAGTGTGTAATCGAGGGAACTGCGATGCAACTGAGTATCAGTCAATATACTGGTTTCTGTCACCATGTTCCATCTACTGGCATGATAATAGTAACACAATAAGCTATCATTTTAAGAATTCCCAGCAAATAACTGATGAGAATTTCTCTCACCATCAATTTCATCAACTCAGAGCAAACCTTCAAAATTCTGGAAACCTTCAAACTACTGCTTTGTTCATTGAACTGAAACAAAGCAAAACGCAACAATATATATATATATGTCACAAATCAAAAATTTAAAAGATAAATGTTTGCACACCTGCTTAATCTAGATCGTGATTTTCCACCATCATCAGGCGTAGTTGCAGTCGAAGCACCTGGAGTTGGACTCACTGCATCACTGACAGGGGTACCAGAAGCATCTAGCAAGGTCAGCTGGGACTGTCGCACAAACATCCCATGGTTTTCTTTGCACTAAAACAAAAGCAACACATACCTCCTGCAACTGACATTCTACACTTTTATTAAAGAATACCAAAAGCTCCAAATTATGAGCTCTTCTACAGTTCAATAATAACTAATGATTCAGTTCCTTAACCCTTACACTGCTGTGATGGCATCCTTGCTGTGATCGACAAAACCCATACTGCGAGTTCAGAGTTTCAAATCTCAGGTTTCTTTGCACCAATCTCATTCAAACATGGCGGGTGCATACAGTCATCTATTGGGAATATAATGAAGCATCATTCATTTCCATGGCTGCATTCTTCTGCCCTCTAGCTTAAGAAATGTAAAAGGTTGCATATGCAGAGCGAGGCACGCGCTCCATGGTCACATGACGCAGGTATTTCACAGGGCTAGTAAAAATGGCTTTCTATAGTGCGCAGTGCTTTCTACAATAGTTTTAAATAAAGTTGTGGGCTTTGGTCAACATGTGACATAGTGATAAGACTGTGATATAAATACAGTGATTCTAGGATAGTGAATTATGTATAGTTCTGGTATTTAGAAGTAACAGTCCAGGAAAAGCTGCGCAGTGGATGGGCAGGTCCATTCGTGAAAGTTGAGGGGTGTTGTGATTAGTCACTTGTTTGTTTTCAGTGCGAGCAGACATCTCAAGTTTGGTTAAAAGCATTCTTCCTTGTACAGTCAAGTCAAAAAGTGTTGACTCTTGGAGTCATATTTGAGTGTATTATTCTCTATTTACTGCATTAATATTTTATTTTATTGTTTATCTTTATTCATTGATTTTCTTTTTTGTTTATTTATATTTGTACATTTTTTCTATCTCCTTTAAGATGCCACCTACATGAAGTGAATTGAGTGGACTTTTCCCTTGTGAACAAACTGAATAATTCAACATTTTTGCAACTTCTGCTGCCTGTTCCCTGTCTGAGGTAAGATTAGTTACATTTTATCACACATTTTCATACTTTGCACTTAAATTATTTATAAAAGATTTATTCAAAAATAATTCAGCACAGAGGGTACTGAGAGTTACTTATACTAGCAGTGAAAGGGTTAAAATAGTACCACTTGCGTTAACATTAAGAAGCTCTGCATTTGGCCTACAAAATGTATTTATGGGTTTTGTACAATTCTCACAATAAAAGCAATCACTTCCTTAAATAACATTTACCAATTACTTTTTGTAATGATGAAGCAGCTATTTGTTTTTAGGTAAGAACTGAATTTACAAATCCATCTGTTCAGTAAATAAAAGGAAATACTGTTATTGGTTCCATTCTTTGTCCTAAGGGTGGCAAATATTTGAGTCTCCAAACCAAAGACAAACCAATCCACAACATACATCCAATTTTATTTGTGGTTTACTTAACAATGCTGTCAGTAACTCCAACTGCATGGCTTTGAATGACTGAATAATGAATGATGAATTGGAAAAGATGTGGAAGGAGCTGGTCCACAACCTAATTTAGCAGAACCAACCCAGCATTTGCCTGAGAAGACTGAAAAAACAGCATAAAAAATCTGTCACAATAGTTGGTGTCCTGGTCGAGATTCAAAATGGGAACCTTTGAATACAAGTTAAAAGTGTTACAATCTGAGCCAACCTTCCTGGTAACACTCACCCAAGAAATGCAAAACAATGGCCCAAATCACCATGAAAGCCTAAAGCCTTCTATATACAGAAATATGTTGAAAAGGGCTGTGAAATAAATAAGAATAAATATTTACCTGAAAATATGACTTTCCTTGCACTGTCCCACTGTTCTTTCCTTTTGGTTCATCAAGTATAACACCAATCCATTTTCCACTTGCAAACATAGTGCTGCCAACATAGGCAACAATGCCACGCACATCTTTTCCAGTCACTTCAACACGCTGATTCAAACGCAATGATTTTTCAGCCATATCTGTAACAAATTTCATGTTCTTAGTAAATGAAATACTTACTTACCTATAGAGACGAGACCTTCTTGAGGACAAGCCAAATTTGCAGCTACTCAAGAATTTCCCAGCATTTTATGGAACCTGACGGTTCATTATAGTGTTCACAAGAGCCCTCCACTGGTTCCTATCCTGAGCCAGATCAATCCAATCCATACTATCCCATCCTATCTCTCTAAGATGCATTTTAATATTGTCGACCCACCTATGCCTTAGTCTTCCCAATGGTCTCTTTCCTTCTGGCTTTTCCACCAATATCCTATATGCATTCTTCTTCTTCTTCACCATTTGTGCTACATGCCCTACCCACTTCATCCTCCTTCACTTGATCATTCTAATTATACTTGGAGAAGAGTACAAGTTATGAAGCTCCTCATTATGCAGTTTTCTCAAACCTCCTGTCACTTCATCCCTCTTCAGTTCAAATATTCTTCTCAACACCCTGTTTTCAAACATCCTCGGTCTATGTTCCTCCCTTACTTTACTTTACTTTACTTTAATTTATTGCATTCTGTCAATCCATATAAGGTCAAACCAACCTATTGGATACAGAATCTGTCATGTTTAAACATAAAATAATAAAATATACATTCTTAACCATGTTTGAACATAAGATAATAAAATATACAGTTCTAACCCATACAAGGACAAATGAAAACATTAAGAACCACTACAAATTAGTGCAGTCCTATACAATAATACAAACACTGATACAGCTGTAGTAGATACTTAAGCTGTGTAATTATATTATCCGTAGGATAGACAATCAAGACAAAGTGTTCATTCAGAACTCAATTTATAACATTCATCAATACTATAAAAAGCACGTTCAGTGAGGTAGCTTTTTAATAAAAATTTGAATTCTTTAATATCTTTGGATAGCAATTTAATGTTTGAGGGTAAGTGGTTACAAATCTTGCTACCCGAGAAAAGCACTCCTTTTTGAACTATTGATATATTTGTAGAAGGTAAATATAAATTGTGATTATAACATGTGTTGATATCATGAATATCAGTATTAGCTATAAAATAATTTCTGTTCTTAACGACAAAAAAAGGAAGGAGAAAATGTACTGGGACTGAAGTGGCAATATTTGTAATTTTTTAAACAATCCACGGCATGAATCCAGTCTACCCAAACCAGATATAACTCTTATTATTCTATTTTTAATTAATGTCAGAGACCAAGTTTATTGCCTGTACAGAACCACAGGTAAATTTATAGTTTTGTATATTATAATTTTTATGTTTCTGGACAGCAGACGAGAAGACAA